AGTCCAACCTTTCCTAAAATTACTACTTGTGGATTATTTCTGTATTGACTAGCTTTGCCCACACAATAAACAACCTCAGATCTCAGTGGCTTATAGAAATAAACAGTAATCTCTTGCTTATGTTTTAGGTGGGCTGCTGTGGGTCTGGGGGTCTCTACTCCACTCATCACATCACTCTGGGACCCAGGCTGAAGGAGTAGCCCCAGTGACAGATGTGCCCACACTTTTGACATAGGGAAAGATCAAGTGGGGTCTGAGCAGATCCCTGCAATTGCATTTAAAACTTCTGTTTAGATGTGACATGGCCAAGCCCAGCAGGTCACAGTTCAGTTTTCTTTCTGAGAAAGGGGTAGTGTATAATTGTAAACAATACAGCTATCTACTACAAGAACCAAGGTAATAAGGAGATATGGCACCATTTTACATGAGGAACAGTTGGAAGTGTTTAGCCTGGAAAGCAGAAGCTCCCCAGGAGAGAAGTGGTAGATGTCTCCACATATTTGAAAACTATTTGGTGAAAGATTGATGAACTATATACTGCACAGCTCTGAATTATGGTACAAAGCACAAAACAGATTTGGCTCAACATGAATTCTTATAAAAACTGGCTACTGCACATGACATTGGGTCTCCTTATGGTGGAGTGGGCAACCCAATTACTGGAAGTATTCACAGGTCAAATGAGATGACCTAGCAGGACTCCATTCGATTGTGTGTTCCCTGAAATCATTTTCCTTCTGAATGTAGCGAACTCTAGGTAAGTTTGAAAAATAGTTCATTTCAAATCATTTGGAGTCAACATGTACAGTTGTTTAGATACCAGCTTAGGCTTGAATAGGACATAAAGTGACATGTCATGATCACTTGTGCCGTTCATGAAACATTTCTGTCTTCTTCTGGGTATAAGGGCGGATTGCACCACCCTGCCTCCTGTGAAGTTAGGCATTGCCAGGAAATTTGCTTTGATCAGTGAAATGTGAGCACTGATGCTCTGTGTTACTCCCAAGGGGAAACTTTTAGAGCTGAAGCTTGATTCACCATGTTCCTGTCCCACTGCTGCAGTGACTAGGAGCGCGCGCTGGGCTGGAGCCTCCGTCAGCCTGGGTACTTTACTGACGCGGAAACAGATTCCCCTGCTCACTTGTGTTGCTCATGTATTATGACTGAGAAATAAACATTGTTGTGGTTAGTTAGTGAAATTTTTAGGGTTGCTTGTTACTGCAGCATAATCTCTTCTAGCCTGTCTGCTTATGTTTCTACTACCTAGGGCAGCTCCGTGCAGTAGAAAAATAATGTGAGCCACATATATAATTTTAAATGTTTCAGCAGTCTTGCTAAGAAAGTAAAAAGCAAAATTAATTCTAATTAAATACATTATTTAATCCAATATATCTAAAATATTATCATTTCAATGTACAGTCAATGTTAAAAATGGATGAGATATTTTACACTGTTTGTCCCATCCCAAGTCTTTGAACTTCGGTGTGTCTTTCACACTTACAGCACATCTCAATTTGAGCTAGCTGTATTTCAAGTCACAGCCACATCAGACGGCTCAGGTCTAGAGCCTTTGAGAATAAGACTTGACTTTCTAGAGATATGGTTAAAGGGAGGCACATGCTTTTTTGTGTGCTTGGGCCCATGGTCATTGTGTAAGGGGAAGGATTAAGCATCAATAAGCAAAGCAGAAAGTCTGTTTGTTGATTTTCAGGTAATCTGAAGGACAATGGAACCGGATTTTACTTTTTATCAAGAGTCTGAAAAGGACTACTAGCACTAGAGAGAGACCGTGACTTAGGGCCCCTTTGCACACACGAGTCTGTGTTTTAAATGAATGAGTGCTGCAGTCATACTCATATACATACACCTATACATCTGTGTGTGTGTGTGTGGTTTGCAGTGAAGGCTCTCCCTCCCGCCACCCCTGGCTCACTTCTCAGCATCCCTCACCTCCACCACACGCAGATTACCACCATGACTAGTTTCTGGAGTCTCCTTTCAGAGTCTCTTCATGCATATACAAACAAATGCGAATTCCTATTCTTATTTCTCTTTTACACGGAAGGTAGTGCCCTTTTACAAACAAGGCTGGGATAAATAACCTTGCTCTATCATGGACTGAGAGAATTGAATTAAAGTCTTCTGCAGCTGGCAGGTTTTTGTTTATTTTTCTATATGTCTAGGTAATTTCTGCTCTAGGAATATTGCTGCTAGGTAATCGAGTACATAAATATTCATAACTGTTATACCTAAATTGTGAATTGTGCCCTTTAGCATTATAAAGTGCCCTTCTTTGTATTCTTTAATGCTTTTTGGCCTCAATTCCACCTTGTCTAATATTAACATCATAAACCCTGCTTCCGTTCTGTTTGCTTCTGTCTGGTATACTTTTGTCCAGTCCTTAATTTTTTTTGCTTTGTTTTAATATCTCTCCTTATAGCACAGAGTTTGGATTTTCTTTGTAATATGATTTGAAAAACTTTTAATAATGATTGAGGCTCATTTACATACTGATGCGTATGCTTGGGTTTAGTTTTTCATATTGTTTTATGTGTGCTCCTTATAATTGCTTCTTTTTAAGTATTTTACTCTGTGATCTTTACTTTGTGTGTGTGCGTGTGTGTAGTTCTGATATTTAGGAGGGCTGGTATTTTTGTTCCAGTTGTTCCCTTGATAAAATTCATTCTAGCTTTATATAATTCTCTTAGTCCCTATTTCTCTACACAACATCTACCTGGTTTCCTAGTAGGAACAGTTATAAACTCAATGTGTTTCCTGTTCTTTTGTCCTTCCTTCTCCTTCGTTTCCCAAATTTAGTCAATAACAAGGTCTTTCTTGTGGTTTACATTTGAACTGTCCATAGACTTTTATTGCTCCTAGGACATCTTGATTCCATGGTTTTCCAGCTTTAACTAATATTTTCTGACTCATCTGTTACAGATAAGGCAAATAGGAGAATTACTCTAGCTCCTTCCTTCTTTGTCTTCTGGCATCCATTTCTCCGGTTACCTTTTCTAGATTGTAGAGCATAAACACCCACATTCTCTTCTGTTATCCAAATCTGCATATGTGTTTCCTCTTTTGCTCTCAGGTGCATGTATTTGAGACTCACAGCCGGTTCTTTCTCTCTAGAACCAGACATTTCTCACATGGCTGCGGTTTATCCTCTAGAAGTTTCCTCAAGAAGGGCTGGGGACAACAATCCCTGAGTTTTTGCATGTTCAAAACTGTCCATAGTCTTTGCATTTGGAGGATAATTTGGATCCACAGAAAATTCTTGGCTCAGATGTTGAATCCTTGGGGATTTTTAGGCATTTCTCCAGTGTCTTCAAGTGTTCAGTGTTGCTGTGGAGAAATCTGAAGTCAGTCTGATGATTCTCTCTTGTAATCAAACTTTAAATGTCAGCTCAAAGGATTTTTTATCTTGAAAGTCCAGCAACTTTGCCAGGAGATGTCTCAGTGTTGACTCTTCTGGGTCAGCTTCCCTGACCACGGTATTCCTTTTCAACACATAGAGTCAAGCTTTTATTTCAGGAGAGTTTTCTTGAACTATATTGTTAAATATTTGCTTTCCTTCATCGGTTCTGGTTCATTTTACTTTTGTATTTTAAGGGGAGTCCAATATTGGATCTCCTTTGCCTGTCTTTACATTTGTCATTTTCTCTCTCACGTTCTGTGACTCCCAGTTTCATTTTGCGTCCTTTTATTCCTTTTGCATATCTGTCTCTATATACCTTTTTCTGTTTTCTGCATTGTGTGTTCTCCCTTTTGCACCTTCATATTTTGTTTTCATTTCTGTGATGTTTGTTCTATTTTTTCCTCCTTCTTTCCTGAGTTTTGCCAGCCAAATTTCATTGGGAAATTTTGGAAATGGATACTTTTTATGCCTTTTGCCCATATTTTTTGTTATGGAGTCTCTGCTTTGGTGCTGAACCAGTTTTCTATACTATTATTGTTGTTGTTGTCTATCTATGATCTCTATGATATTATAAATACTGGTACTATTATTCTTCTTATTCCAACGATGAATAATAATCACACCATTGTTGTTGTTATTCACTATGGGCTGGGTTGGGTTTTCTGAGCCAGCTTGTTGCTGGAAGTTCCTGTGCTAGGAGAGGCCCTGGCAGCCTCTGATGCTCCCTCCTCTGCTCCATGGAGACAGACTGTTACGCAGTTCAGCCTGTGATTCTCTGTGCGTCCTGCCTCCTCTCTGCTGCTGGGAGTGCACCGGGCCCCAGAGGGCCCAAGTCACCAGTGTTGTTCACCCAATCCCTGTAAACACGGGGTGTAGATTTTGCGCTTCAGGATGAGCCCTCACCTTCGGGTTACCATTTAGGTGGTGCTTTCTGGGATGTGTCCCTGCTGGGCTCTCCTGTCACTCATCGCTTTCACTCTTCACTTTCCCCAGGCGAATCTCAGTTCACCCTCAGCCGGTTTGGGGGCCCTAGCATGCACTTTGGAATCTGATTATATCCACCTACAAATTTGTGGAAACCAGAGTTTGTAATTCTCTTTTGATTTTGTGTGATTTTGGGGGGAGGAGAAAAATAAGGAGTAATGGGGAGAAGACTGCTTATTTATGTAGCCATGTTCATACCAGAAGTCTTGCTTCTCAGACCAACTTGAAATCCATGTACTGTTGATATTTTTCTGGAGCACAGTTGTGTGGCTTAATTTAAAGCCTGGGGTATTTGATTGTAAGGAGAGACAGTTGCTTTATGGAATAGAGTTTTCTCTGAGCAAGGGACAAAGAATACCTGGAACAGTGTTATTCACAGAATGGTGCTTTTAGTATCTGCCAGTTCTGGATAACTTGCTCAGGAATACAGGAAAGATGCTTTTATAAAGCAACTAGCAAACTTGTATCACTCATACCTTCAGGTTCTCAGAGAGGCTGTCCTGTTTATTGGTTTCTGATTCAAAGCTGGAGAATGGCTAGTGTTCTGGCATCCTATGTGACATCACAACTGCATGGGTTATAGTGCAAAGGGTCCTTTCATTCACATCTGGTAGGAACATAAACTATGTAGGATTTCTGGAGGGACTCTGGCAATCTCCATCAAGAAACTGAAAAAAAAATCATACCTTTTACCCAGTAAGTATATTTTTAGGGATTCAGCTTACAGATATAATCAGAGACATAGACAGAGATAGATGCCCAAAAATGATTATGAAAAATTGGAAATTTCTTAAATGTTCAAGAGTACTAGTTAAACTGTGGTGTATTTGTATGATGGAGTAGAAATCATTCATGAAAATAATCTTTCTGTTAACATTTTAGTGATGTGGGAAAATGCTTATGATATGATTATGTCAGGGTAGGATATAAAAGTCTATAGCTTATGTGATCTTAGTTATGTAAAATATACAAAGAAAAACAACTGGAAAGAAATATATCGAGCATTAATAATGATTATTTCTGGTTATGAGACTATGGACTCATACTTATTTTCTCTTTCCCCTTTTCCATGCTTTGAAGTTTTTCAACAATGAGTACATGAATGTATTTTATTTTGTCCTTTTACTTTTAACTTAACTTTTAGGAAATGCATTCAAGTGGGAGAAAATTCAAAATGTATAAGGATATATAGTAAACAGTATATCGCCTATCTTTCTGTCTCATTCATTCATTCAATTACTCATTCATTCATCAATTGCCTAATTCTCCCTAGAGGCAACAATGTTATTAGCTTCACAGGTATACTTTCAGAGATATTCAGTGTAATCCAAGTAAAAACCCTCACATACGTCTTCTTTTTCTCTCTCTGTCTTATATAAAAAGTAGCATACCTTATACACACCATTCTGTTCCTTTTTTTTTTTTTTAACTTAATGTATCTTGACAGCGATGTCGTATCAGTATATAATGAGCTTATTAGAGTTTAGGAATTGTTGGATAGAATTCCATTCTTTGGAGGTATCTTAATTTGTTTACATCAGCACTTAAACGGTTATCAATCTTTTTTTTGTTATAAACAATGCTATGATGAATAACCTTGAACGCACGCCATTTCAAACATGTATGACTATAATCAGTGACAGCTGATTACAATTGTCAACAGGGCTCTAAGAGGTGGCTTGTCAAAGAGGCAAGTTCTTGGTGTTCAGGTCCAGCTTGACGATGTACTGTTGATTGTGACAAGACCGGAATGAGCAGGAAGGACAGGAAGGAAAGAGGCTCGTCCCGGCCGAGAGATGCAAGGCGTGTTGTAGGTACAGCATTAATTGATTAGGCTTGTTTCCCGAGTTGCGCTTAATCAATTTCAGGAAACCTTGTCCACCTAACTTACATCCATGGAACATATTTAAAACTCCTTGCTGATAACCTTCTGCTATTATTTCACACTTATATGGGGCTTACAATTCTTTAAGTCACTTCTGCAAACTTCACCTCATTTGATTCTTGTGGTTACCCTGTGGAATAGGGTATAGCAGTTAATACCCATTTTATGGGTTAGGGAGATTGGCACTCACTGTCTCCCGTTTGGTTACCATCCTAGTGCAGACCAGAGCCAGCTTTCTGCAGTTCCAGCCTCTAGTCTCTTTCTTCCTAACCATGATGTACACTGCAACTTTAGCCTTCTCAACTTCTTTCTTCTGACAACCATTTATTGCAAGACAACTCATTTACTTACTAGGGGCAATATTTCACCCCCTGCTTCTCGTGGGGATTTACCAGAATGTCACATTGCTTAAAACTAGACCTTCTATGTTTGATTTCTTCATTGAGATTTTATGGTTCTGGTGGGCTATTTCCAACTAAAAATATTGCAGCTATTCTCATTGGCATTGAACTAAAGGGCCTCTGTCTCCAATTTATCTCAGTCTTGGAGCAGACCCAGAGCTGTTTTCTGAGAAAATCTTGGCCCTGCCTGGGTCTACTCACTCAACTCACCTCAAGCTTATATCCTGGTTGGACTCCTTAATTTACAGGCAAAGATGTCAAATATGCTCTCTGCTTTGCTGGCTGTTAAAGCATAAAGGTCAGCCCTTAATCAGCAGTATGGAGTGTCTCTCCTCCAGGTCCTTGTTGGAGGACAAAACTCTGAATTCTTTGCTGCCTAATTCCTAGTCAACATTCAGCAGAACCCTAGGCTTCTACTCTGATTGTCTATATATTCTTTATTGCCAACTATCTATAACATCTTTCTCTCCTTCTAAAATCAAAGTTTTATTGTATGCTTTAGTTCAATCACCAAATAGACATAGAGCACTACTCAGTACTAATGCGAGGCACTGGTTTAGGTGTTGGGATATAGCAGTGAAGACGACAAAGTTCCGACTCTCAAGGAATTTATATTCTAGTTGAAAAAGACAGATAGACGGACATTAAATAAATAAACAAGTAAACATACAGTATGTCATATAATGATAAATGCTATAGAGAAAATTAAAGTTATTTAAGGGAAGTAAAGTGAAAAATGTGTGTGTGTGTGTTTGTGTGTGTGTATTATTTCATATAAGCAGGTTTGAGAAAGCTTTATAGTCATGTGACATTTGGACAGAGACCTGAAAGAAGTGAAATTGTGAGGCACTTTGATACTGGAGGGAAGAGCATTCTAGGCAGAGGGCATGGCGGGGCACTGAGGTCTTTAAGCTTAATTGGGCTTCTCATATTTGGGGAACAACAAGCCAACATGGGTGGAATAGAGAGAGAGAGGGGAAGGAGGGAAGAGATGAAGTCAAATAAGTAATGAATATGCAGGGAAGGGGAGGGTGCCAGGGTTGGGGCAGGTGGCAGACCACCTATGACCCACAGGTGTATTGGGCAGAGATAAAGAGATTATATATATACACATATATACATACATACATATGTATATAACTATATAAATATATATTTGTGTATATATTATATATATAATTAAGAGAATTGAGAATTGTGAGCAATTGGCTCACACAGTTATGGAGGCTGAGAAATCCCGTGATTTGCAGTCTGCAAGCTGGAGACCCAGGAAAGCTGGGGGTGTAGTTCTGGTTAAAAGTCAGCAGGCTTGAGACCTAAGAACAGCTGATGTTTCAGTTGGAGTCCCAAGGCAGGAAGACCAATGTCCCAGCTCGAATCAGTCAGGCAGGAGGAATTCCCTGTTACTCAGCCTTTTTGTTCTATTCAGGTTTTCAGTTGGTTGGACAAGGCCCACCCACCCAAGGGAGGGCAATCTGCTTTACTCACTCTGCGGATTCAAGTGTTAATTTCATCTGGAAACACCCTCACCGACACACCCAGAATAATGTTAATCAAATGTCTGGAACCTCCGTGGCCCAGTTAGGTTGACACATAAAATTAACCATCACAGTAGGCAACACTGAGCCTGGCTTTTACTTGGAGAGAGATGGGGAGCCACTGAGGAGTTTTGAAGAGGGGAGTGACATAAGCTGACTTAAGTTCTAGAAGGATCTCTGGCTGCTGTGTTGAGAATAGACTGTGGGGGGCAGGGAAGGCAAAAGTGAGGGCAGAGAGAAGAGTTTGGAGACAATTGAAATACTCTAAGTGAGAAATGAGGGTGGCTTGGACTAGAACGGTATTGGTGGAGATGGTGTGAAGAGGTTCTGGTTCTAGATACATTTTAAAGACAGAGCCTCTGGGGCCACAGAGGGCTTTGTCCATACTTTTGTGACAGCACCTCTCATTTTGGACTATAATTGTTTACTTGTTTGTCTCCTGCATTGATTGCTATTTTATTAATCTTTATACTAATATCATCATAGCAATCACAGCTAACAGCTACAGAGTGGCACTGCGTCAGCGACTGAGCTAAGTGCTTTATACATATTATCTCATTTGATTTTCACATCAACCCTATGAACATATTATTAACCCCATTTTAAATAGAATGTTCTAAAGTCTGGAGATACAGATATCACTTTATATTTTAACAAGTTGAAGATGTCCTTGATGACATTTCGTATGTTTGTTTTGTTTCCAGACTTGCAGTCTTCCTGTAAATTATGTTTAGACACAAGGAGGTTTAGAAACTTGGCTAACATCTCAGGCAGTAAATGCCTAGCACTGCGTTGAATTCCCAGCGGGCACTGAACAAGTGGTATTCATTTCTCCCCAGATATTTCTGAGGCCCACTAAGTGCCAGGCTCACGGGGACTGGGGCCACAGCATTGAAAAGATGGTCAAAGTTGCTTCTCTCATGAAACTTGTGTTCTAATGGAAGGGCATATTTGGGGGCCAATGAGTAACCCATTTGGTGTGAGTGGAAGAACAGAAAGAAGCCTTGGAGTGGTGAGTAGAGACGAGATAGTTGAGAACCCCAATGCCCAGTTGAGAAGCTTTATTTAGATGAGAGGCAATGCCTCCAGTAAAGTGAAGACAATGAGAGTTCTGGGTAGTGGAATGACAAAAGGCAGTGTCTTCCAGGCTCATCTGCTATTTCTTTCCTCCTCGTCTTGTACAGTGCAATTATAGAAAAGTACTGGCTAGAAGAAAATCTGACTCCTCTTACTTTACGTGTGGCCAACAGGACACCTCCTCAGTGGACATCAAAGCAAGTGACTGGGCAGCAAGAGAAGTTGTCCCCAAAGCTGGGAGAATGTGTTGCTTTTGCTGCTGCTGTTTAGAGGAGGGATTCATTGGAAAGCAACTCTGGTTTGCATTTGAGCATATGGCTGGGCCTGGTGTGGCCCAGATTTCACCTGAGTGCCCTTAATGAGCCAGCAGCTGCTTCCATTGCTGCCTCACTGTCCCTGCTCCATTGCTCTGGCCTGCCCTGCCATCTCCATGACAATCTGCTCTGTGGGCTGGGCAGCCTTCATCCCTCCAGCTATCGGGTGTGGGGTGGGGGAAGGACCAGAAGTAGCTATCCTTTTCTAATATAAGATCACCTGTTGGCACCATGGCCAACCAAAGTTATGGGCAACACATGGAGCTCCAGAGTGGTTAGCTCTCCTTGGAACTTGGTAATGGATTTGCAGATAAAAGACATACAATAAAAACAGCACTTATGCATCAAGTTTAATTTAATGCAAGGCACAGTCAGCTGGTGGCATTTATTACTTGGGGGAAGATCCAGGATGTGGGTTGCAGTAGACACTAGGATTATATTGACCTGGGTTCTAATATTGATTCTGCTGCTAAGAGCTGAATGCCGTTGGGCAAGCCAGTCAACTGCTCTGAGCCATAGTCTGTCATCAGTGAATGAAGGAATCCAAGCAGATAATAACGACCATTGCCACTTCCATGACTGCATTTAATTATATTCACCACGTGCCAGGCACTGATCCAAATGTTTCCCATGTATTATAGATACAGAAATATCAACTCTCTCTATTTCAGGTTGCTCTCTCCCGCCATTTTAGAAGAATCCTTTCTTCCCCTAATGAAATCATACATGGAACCCAAATTTAAAACAGAATTGCTTTGTTTGAAGCAGAAACAGGGGACAGGACTCCCAGCCGTTCAGCCTCACCTCTGCCTTGAAGTGTCTCCACTGAGGATCACACCTAGAAGACCACTGGTGTGAGTGTTTTAGTTTCCTGTGGCTGCTGTAAAAAACTGGTGGCTTGAAACAACCCACATTTATTCTCTCACAGTGCTGGAGGCCAGAAATCTGAAATCAGTTTCGCTGGGCTAAAGTCACACTATTGTCAGGGCTGCTTCCTTTCAGAGGCTCTAGGAGAGAATCCATTCTCTTGCCTTTTCTAGCTTCTGGAGTCTGCCTGCATTGCTTGGTTCGAGGCCCTTCCTCGCATCACTGCAGCCTCTTACTTCCATCCTCACATCCTCTATTCCTCTTACGTAGTCAAATCTCTCCTGCTCCCCCTCTTATGAGGACACTGGTTGTTACATTGGACCCCCAAGACAAACCAGTGTAACCTCCCTATCACAGGCTTCTTAGTTTAATCACATCTTCAGAGTCCCTTTTGCCGTGTAAATGAGCATTCACAGATTCCAGGAAGTCAGATCAGGGTATGTAGGGGCCATTATTCACTCTGCCACAGGGAGCATCTAAGTTTCCTCAGCTCTGTTCGTTCTTCCAGCCACTCAGAATCGAGCACATGGAGTCATACCAATAATGTATACTTATATGTTGATTGATCCTTTCCAAAGTTTTGCCCCATTCTGCCTTTTATTTTGATTGCCCCTGTAACGCAGTGCAGTGGGACGGGCAGGGGTTGTTCTCTGAGCCTTAGCTGGGTGGAGTATGAAGCGGGTTGACATGGGGTGGGTCCCAGCGCTCCTCTGGTGGCCCATGCAAAGGGTGTGTTTGATCATTGCAGCAATGTCAATAACAATTATTTCCCCTTCATGATTAGCTCCACTCAAGCTGAGGCTAAATGATATCAAAACAGCCAGTCAATTTGGTCAATTTACTCAGTCTGTCAATTTAGTAGAAAATAAAAAATCAATTAAATTAGTGGTTTGAGTGAATTGACAGGCTGTCTCACTGACTCGGTTGAGTCAGGAAACCCTCGATAGACAGCTCCAGAGGAGAGTGCTGCTGTACTGATACTGTTGAGGCTGCCAAGGGGCCACTCTACAATGGTGGTAATGAAAACAATACCCTTTCTCTGCATTTTCAGATTATAGCTATTTCAAGAAATTTCAGTGATGATCAATTTTGTTGTGCCAACATCCTAAGGCAGTCAGGACAGCTGAGGAAACTGAGTCAGGGAGTCTAAAGAAGAAATTTAAAGATTCACAAAAATAATATACACCTCTTAAAATATGCTAAGAACTGATTTAAGACTTTACCTATATTAACTCATTTGATCCTCTCCACAGATCTATGAGGTAGATTTTTTGTTGTTCGTGCTGTCAGGTCGATTCTGACTCCCAGCGACTGTGTATACAGCAGAGCGGAACTCTGCCCAGTCTTTTTGCACCATCCTCTCAGTGCTCTGATGCTATTCACAAGGTTTTAATGAGGTAGATTATTATCCAGATGTAACAAGGAGTAAGGGAAGGGCAGAGCTGGGATTCAAACTTGAGTTTCTTAACAACCTGCTTTTCTCTCTAGATCAGAAGTTCTCCACCCCGGCTGCACATTAGATTCACTAAAGAGCCTGAAAATATGTGAAGTCTTACACATGAGGTTCTACACTACAGCTCTGTTTGTAAGAGCAGAAAACTAGAAACAGCCCAGAAAGAGCTACGCCGCATCGCCACGATAGAGTACCGAGCAGCTGTGAAAGGGAGCACTGGAGATCGCTACATAGCACGAGGGAGACATTGCCGGGAGTCAGCGAAAAAAACTAAGTGTAGGGCATGCTACATTTATTTAAGAAAGGAGGGCATAATGTGTTTTCAGGTGACAAATGCTACAAGGCGCTTGTTCTCATTTCTTCACTAAAAAATTTTGCATAGGGGCCAGCCCGGTGGTGCAGTGGTTAAGTGCGCACGTTCTGCTTTGGTGGCCCAGGGTTCGCCGGTTTGGATCCCGGGTATGGACATGGCACCACTTGGCAAGCCATGCTGTGGTAGTCGTCCCACAGATAAAGTGGAGGAAGACGGGCACGGATGTTAGCTCAGGGCCAGTCTTCCTCAGCAAAAAGAGGAGGATTGGCAGCAGTTAGCTCAGGGCTAATCTTCCTCAAAAAAAGAAAAAATTTGTATAGTTAAAAAGAAAGAGAACAGGAATTTACAGATTAAAATAAGTTTAGAAGATTATCAATAAATCATAACAGAAAAAATTAGGAAAATTTTAAACTGTTTTCAGTAATCGTTATTGTCAATAGTGGTTGATATTGTCATTTGGAGACTGTCGTATGTAGTAAGGGATAAAACAAATTAATAATTCCAAACTGGGTTTTGTTTAACGGGAGGAAGAGATTAATGTGTAAGACCAATGAGGTAAATAAAAACCCTGTAGTCCAGAATTTGAACTGGAAATATGATTTAAACTCATATTTTTTCTTAAAATGTGAAATACTTTCCAGTTCCGTCCACTAAAGAGATCTAGAAACAATCATCAACTCAGTAGCAACAAGCACTCTCAGCACCTGGATTGTGGCCTCTAAATACGTTTTTGCATAAAAACAAACCAAGGCCTCTTAGAGAAATGGATGATTCTAGTTTGGGGCAGGAATGTACGCATGAGCCTGGAGCATCGTGTCACACCAGGGCTCGAAGAAGCTGTTAACGATGACATGCGTTATCTCAGGAGGACTCAGAAGCAAAACTGACTAGGTTCCCACTGGCCAAAGGGAGGATAATTTGAGCAGAATGAGAACAATAACAGCAATGGATTGAAACACATCAAAAATGTTTATATTAATGAGCTCTTAGTGATACTCTGAAAGCAACATACGAATCTTTGGGTATTTTGGAGGATGCTAAGGGACCAGCTTCTTATTTCAAAGACCGGTGAATGAAGAGAGGTATAAAGCATTGATGCTGCCTTTCCTATTTGACTGTATCTCAGGCACCCACAAAGTTGATAAAAAGGAGTGTCTCTTGTTAGAAGCATTTCAGCTAACAAAAGAAGGAATCATAGAATTCATTATTTTGAAAACCCTAACAAATTAATGAATCTAGGCAATGGTTTTTAAGGACTAATATCACAAAAAAGAGGCAATCAGACACTAAATATCTTTGTTTGGAGTATACAATGCCACCTATGAAGGAGTCTTATCAAATAACTCAAATTTGAATTTTCTTAAGCCTCCATGTCTAATGACTAATTTACAGGAAATATAGAAACAGAGGGACACGTTAAACCATTCCATGGGGAGTTAATCAGCAAAATCCGGAGGGTGAGAAACTCTACCGCACACCTGTCCTCATTTCTTCATAAGGAAAAAGAAGTTGCATAATAAAAAACAAAGAGAATACAGCAGAAACCTATAGATTAAAAGAATTTAGGGAACCACACATCTATGGACAGCTAATCTTTGACAAAGGAGCTGAGGGCATACAATGGAGAAAAGAAAGTCTCTTCAACAAACGGTGCTGGGAAAACTGGACAGCCACATGTAAAAGAATGAAAATTGACCATTCTTTTCCACCATTCACCAAAATAAACACAAAATGGATCAAAGACCTAAAGGGGAGACCTGAAACCATAAGGCTTCTAGAAGAAAATATAGGCAGTACACTCTTTGGCATCAGTATTAAAAGGATCTTTTCGGACACCATGTCTTCTCAGACAAGGGAAACAATAGAAAGAATAAACAAATGGGCCTTCATCAGACTAAAGAGCTTCTTCAAGTCAAGGGAAAACAGGATTGAAACAAAAAAAAAATCCCACTAACTGGGAAAAAATATTTGCGAGTCACATATCTGACAAAGGGTTGATCTCTATGATATACAAAGAACTCACACAACTCAACAACAAAAAATCAAACAATCCGATCAAAAAAATGGGCAGGAGACATGAACAGACATTTCTCCAAAGAAGATATATGGATGGCTAATAGGCACATGAAAAGATGCTCATCATCACTAATCATCAGGGAAATGCAAATCAAAACTACACTAAGATATCACCTTACACCCATTAGAATGGCAAAAATAACCAAAACACAAAGTAACAAATGTTGGAGAGATTGTGGAGAAAAAGGAACCCTCATGCACTGCTGGTGGGAATGCAAACTGGTGCAGCCACTATGGAAAACAGTACAGAGATTTCTCAAAAAATTAAAAATAGAAATACCATATGACCCAGCCATCCCACTACTGGATATCTATCCAAAGAACTTGAAATCAGCAATTCCAAAAGTCCCATGCACTCCTATGTTCATTGCAGCATTCTTCACAATAGCCAAGACGTGGAAGCAACTTAAGTGCCCATCAACTGATGACTGGATAAAGAAGATGTGGTATATATACACAATGGAATACTACTTGGCCATAAAAAAGAATAAAATCGCCCCATTCACAACAACATGGATGGACCTTGAGGGAATTATATTAAGTGAAATAAGCCAGATAGAGAAAGACAATCTCTGTATGATTCCACTCATATGTGGAAGTGAAACATGTAGACAAAGAGAACAGATTAGTGGCTACCAGGGGAAAGGGGGTCATGGAGGGGTTGGCACAAAGGGTGAAGTGGTGCACCTACAACACGACTGACAAACAATAACGTAGAACTGAAATTTCACAAGGTTGTAAACTATCATAATCTCAATAAAAATAAAAAAAAAATAGGAAAGAACTTTAGGGGATGGCCCAGTGGCGTAGTGGTTAAGTTTGATGTGCTCTGCTTCAGCAGCCCAGGTTCACAGGTTCGAATCCTGGCCATGGACCTCCACTACTCATCAAGTCATGCTGTGGCAGCATCCCACATACATCATAGAGAAAGATTGGCACAGATGTTAACTCAGGGAATCTTCCTCAAGCAAAAAAGGATGATTGGCAATAGATGTTACCTCAGGACCAATCTTCCTCAACAACAACAAAAAAAATAAAAAAGTTTTTAGGGGCTATGTCAATGAATTGTAACACATGGACCTTATTTACATTCAACTGAAAGAAATGGTTAAAAAATATATATCAAACAACAGGGGAAATTAGATTTTGACAGATTATTTGAGGAATTATTGTTATAAAGAGAGCTTTTTTGTGTGTGTGACGTGGTATTTTTTTTTTTAAAAAGAGTCTTTATCTTTCAGAGATACATTCTGAAGTTTGACCTCTAGGATTTGCTTCAAAATAATTGTGTTTTGGGGAGTGGGAAGTGGGTGGGGGCTGAGGTAAAACAAGATTGGCCTTGAGTTGCTAAGTTCTGCAAGTGGATGAGGTGCGTGCAAGTTCAGGGTGGTGTCCTCTCTGTGTTGTATGTTCTTAAAATTTTCTAGACAAAATGTCATAAGCTTTGTAGAGAAAGAATTCTTATTGAATTGCCTGCAGTAGCGCCTGGGCTCGGTTTCCCTTTTGTTTCCGTTTGAAAGCTCCCTGGGTGATTTCACTTACGGTCCAAATTCCAGACTCTCCTTTAACTTTCCTTCACACCTTTCCCCAGCGGGGTTTGGAATTCAGTCCTGGCAGAGAGATGCCGCACTGGGGAAACGACGCTTCCCTTGGGATTGATCTCATCTTTACACTTCTTCGTTACCTCCGTTTAAAGGTTGCAAGATTTATTTTTCTATTAGTTTTTCTAATTTCCCCAGCTGGTTTGAAACCTCAGGAAGTTAATAGCCATTCTGTATTTGACTTATTTTGCCCTTGAGGCCTCTAAGAATGCCTGCCAATAATGAGCTGACCCATTTTTAGAAAGGGTGTGGTTCCTAGGATTTCACTGTCTCTCTACCTCGAAGAGGAACTGTCTGTCTTCCTGGGCATCTGTGTGGAACAGTTCAAGATGATTTCAAAGTGCTCGGCCCGGGAAGCGTGCACGCAGCCTACAAGGAGGAGCGCCCGTGGAGGGAGAGGGCGTGCGCGCAGTTCCCCACCAGCCTCCTCTACCCGCCTGTTTTCAGTCAGGTCAGGTCAGGGAGGGCCATTTGGGAAACTACTTCAAAGGGACCCCACGGGACTGGAGGGCAAGGACCGTTTTCACTGGAGCTGATAAACTCCCAGGAGGGATGTGGACTCAAGGACTCCCCCTTAATCCCGTGGACAAAAGGTTAGATGAGTACGGAACTTCCCTGGGGCTCAGAAGAACGTAGGGTCTTTCTGCTGTGTCTAGAAACACAGGTTGGGTGAAACCTGTGTGATGGCCCAGGGCCCCACGCTTAGAAGGGCCCTGCCCATGGCTTAAGGCTCTGCTTTCACGGTCTTGAAATTCCTCATAAGTTTTAAACAAGAGGCACGCATTTTCATTTTGCACTGGGTCCTGCAAATGATGCCCTGGCTGAGAGGAACCACTTTGAATGTGACATTCTGGGGAGGGTCAAATCATCTCTTGATCCAGGCTCAGAGGATCTGATGCCAAGTTGGATGCCTAGAGGATGGGTGTGTAAAATGAAAAGGGCAGGAAAAACCAGAAATCGAGAAAGGGATGTCACAGTGATGGGAGATCAGCATGAGCGTTTTTAGTACTGGTGGAAGGACTTTTTCCCTCACTGGGTCTCTTTTGAGCTGATCCCACAATGAGAACATGGCTGGGGTGATCAGGTGTCTTCAGTTTAGGAGATAAACAGACTTTGAGAGGCTGTGCCAGTCATGTAGGACTTTGTCGGGAGAAGGGGAACCTGTTAGGGTAAGGAGCCTTGCTATTTCAGTGATTTCCTGCTCGGGCTCTGGGCTCTGAGTAACACAGTGGAGCTGGCCTGAAACCCAGGAGGGCCAGCTCTGGGTCCACCTTCCTGCCCATTTTATAAGAGTTCTGTTATACAGGGTAACCTATCCATTCACTGGCTCATTCACCTGACACAAACACACATATACATGTTTACATTTATATGTATATAAGTGTGTGTATACGTATGTGTACAACCCCTCTCCCCCCAAAATCCCAGATATAGTTTTTAGGCCCTGGAGTTCTAATAGGAAACAACACAGACAAGGTCTTTGTTCTCATCCTGCAGGACTAGGAGGCAGATGGGTAGGATTATGGGAGGGAGAGAAGGGAGTTCCAGATAGTGTCAGAAAACGTGGGGCAGGATGTTCAGTGGATGGTTTAAAGTTCAGTCACCTTCTGAAATCTTGACCCAACCTTGAAAACAATCAAACCGCAGTTGTTTCCTTCATTTTCAAATGTGCCAGATCATATGATTTAATTAAAAGAGACATGATTGAACATCATCATAATAGCCAAATTAACCTCTGAACATTACTTTATAGCAGTGTTTCTCCGAGTGAGGCCCCTGGACCAACAGCATGAGCGTCATCTGGGAACTTGTTGGAAATATGAATCCTCAGACCCTACCCAGACTTACTGAATCAGAAACTCTTGGGGTGGACCTCAACAATCTGTGCTTTAAGAAGCCTCTGGGTGATTCAAATGCATGAACCGCTGTTGCAAGTCACCTCACCTTGGACCTTGAACTCTATGCAATCATGGATGAGTCTGGTACCCTCTCACCTTTGAGAACCTGTTTACCAAGAAAGAGCCTTCACACCCACTGTCTCGCGTGTCCTGATTCACGCTGGGCAGCCACACAGCCTGTTAGTTGCTATCTTGTTTCCAGCCTTTTAAAATCTACCTCATGGAGTTTTCATTGAGCTACAATTCCACCTAGCAGAAGAGCAGAGGGATAAGAGTGGAGGGAGAAACGCGACTGAGCGAGCTTCATGAGAAAAGCGACAAAAAGGTGGAATGAGGCATTTGGCTAATTTTTCCCAGCTGCTGCAGTCCCACCCCCTTCTCCCCAACTGTCTGTCTCCGTCTATCTATGGATCTATGTATCTATCATCTTTCTGTCTACGTTTCTATCTGTCTTTCTATCTCTAGCTATCATCTATTATGTCTGTGTCTATGTGTCTCTCTCCTTGGCATTATTCTATCTTCTAACTGTCCTAGTATCTGCCCTTCTGTCAGTCTGTCTGTCCATCTGTGTACCTGTCTGTCTATCTATGTATCTATATGTGTATGTGTATACACGTGTGTATCTACCTATCATCTAACAAAGTGGAGTGGAAAGGGAGAGAAAATAAAGGGGGAAAAGGGGTTTGAATAAATGTTTAACCTCTAGCTCAGATTCTTCAAATGTCAAAGAAGTGTGTGTGTGGGTGTGAATGAGTGCATGTGCGGTTGTGTGTGTGTAACACTATCATTTCACACGATTATTATTAGGCTTGAAGGTGAGTACGTATGTTATAGCACAGTGTCTGACCCACACGGAAGGTGGTCAGTTAATGGTAATAGTGGCTGAGTCTGAAAGGAGGAGAAATGAGGGAAAGGAGGGGAGGAGGAAAGTGTGAGAAGCAGGCTGAGCAGGAGGGAGGAGGAAGAGAGGGCAGGAGAGGCTGCAGGAAAGGCCTGAACTGACCGAGGGGGACTGACTCTGAAGATAAGGTGAGGGGGTGGGGCCGAGGTGGCAGGGAGCAGGTTAAATGAAATGACTGAGGATGGTGAAGGGGGACACTGAAGGTGGGAGAGCCGAGTGGCATTATAATAAGGTGCCTCAGAAATAAGAGGGAAAAGCACTTTTTATGGCAGCAATTAAAGAATCTAAATGAAAGTGCCTTTAAATGAATTGCATGTTTATGTCTCAGGAAGGGAGATGTGCCAAGGCTGCTTGGGGGGGCCTCTCCCACGGCTCACCCACCCGCTCCCCACCAAGCTGGGATAAAATACACCTGCTTCTCTCCCCAACATTCCGCCAGCTAATTATCTGTGAAGATTCAGATCAGGAGCTGAAACTCCAAAGCTTTTTATGGGCGTTACGGGAGTGTTAAATAGGAAGATTGGAAGCAAAATTACAGTTCCTCCAATAGATTTTTTGGGGGATTGATAAAAATCTGCTTTTAATTAAAATATAAAGCAATGAGGCCCGTTACACGCAAACAGGAAAGTGTTTGGGGCTTAGTCCCGTGTGCAAACGTCTCTGGATAACTCCTGGGATCCTGGCCTCTGCCGCCTGGTCTGTGGGCCTCGGGGAGGAGTGATTGATAGGTTGGCTGGATTTTCAGCTGAGAGGTCTTGCTAATAGATACACGAAAACAGAGGCTGTAATGCAGCTCACAAGATGAAGTAATGGGCTTGTCTCCGTCTGGGTAGGGAATTCTGCCAAGCCCTGTGTATTAAATAAAATGAGGCTTTTGTGGTTCTTGGCACGGGCCCACCAGTGCAGGCTAACCTTGGCATCTGTGTGCTAGGCTTTCTCTAGAACGTGGCTGCAGGGTTGACACAGGCACAGGGGCTACCCAAGTGCAAGGATACTGGGCTGGGGGACCCTCCCCATCCCCAAGCCTGTTCCTCTCTCAGTGAAAGCATCACTGGCTACTCAGTCGCTCAAGCTTGAAACCTAGGAATCAGCCTTGGTTTCTCCCACTTGTCAAATCCATCTTGAATCCATTTATTTTTCTCTGCTACCACCCCTGGCCTGCCACCTACGTTTCTTCCTTGGATTCCACGAGACCCTCTTCATGAGTCTGTCAGTCCCCTTGTTTACCCCTTCACAATCCACCCTCCTGCTAAAGCTGGAATGATTTTTTTTTGAGATTGTACACACTTTTTTTTTTATGTGTGTTATCAATATTTCATTTCTTTTTATTATTGAGTAACATTCCATTATAGGAATATACCTCAATTTGTTGATCTTTTCCAGTCAGGTGAATATTTGGATTGTCTCCAGTTTTTGGCTACCGCGAATAAATAAGGCCATTCATGTGCAAGTGGCCGAGTTGCTAAGGACACTCATGTATGAGTATTTCTGTGGACATGCATTGTTATTTCTCTTGGGTAAATACCTAGGAAGTGAAGGGTTGCATCACTTGATTAGTGTATGCTTCTTTTTTTAAAGGACTTTTTAAAGCAGTTTTAGGTTCACAGCAAAATTAAGAGGAAAGTGCAGAGATTTCCCTTTTGCACCCCCTGCCACCACACGCACAGCCTCCCCAGGTATCAACATCCCGCCAGAGCCGTACATTTGTTACAATCATTGATCCTACACTGACACATCGTTGTCATCCGTGGGGTTCACTATTACTGTTGTACCTTCTCTGGATTCGGACAAATGTGTAATGACACGTATAGTATCATGCAGAGTATTTTCACTGCCCTAAAAATCCTCTGTGCTCCTATTCATCCCCTCCCCCGCCACACACACAATGATCTTTTTGCGTGAAATCCTCACAGGAAAGGCAATACACCCCAGTGCTTAAAATGGGGACTAGGAAACCAGGTGGCCTGGGTTAGAATTCCAGCTTCCATCACCCACTAGCTGTGTGGGCTTGGCAAGTGACTTAACCTCTCTGTGTCTCAGTTTCCTCAGCTGTAAAATGGGGATAATCGTACCTATTCGTGCAAATTTTTGAGAATTAAATTGATGTAAATCAGGTACTTAAAACAGTACCTGATACTATACGTGCAAGTTGTGGTGTACATGAAGACGTTACTCTGCATGTAATGGTTAGCTGTTGTTGTTACTGTTACTATTATTCTTATCAACTTACCCTTGCTCTTAGAAAACCCCACAATGCTCCCATGGCCCCCAAGGTCATGCATAATACTGGGCTTGCTCTGTTTCCCAAACTTGTCCAGTTCTCTCTTTCTTCAAGCCTCTCTGCTTTTACTCCTTCCGTCTGGAGTGCTCCAACCCCAGTCCTTCTGATGGCCAGTTTGCTGTCTTTCTTCAGGTGTCTCTTCAAACCTCACCTCCTCAGAGAGAACTTCCATTTGCAGGGTTAAGCAGGATGTGGCTGGTTGGCTTCTGCTTCCATCAAATCATGAGGCGGCCAGTGCAGAGCACGGATTGATCAGAAAGGCCTTCCAGAGAAGGTGCTCCAAAGCAGGAAGACTGAACATGTGTGACTTTCCCAAACCTGAGCAGGAGGTTGGGCTGGCTGCTCATCCCTCTCATGGGTCCCTTAGTTGACAGGTTCTCTGGGGACCTCACTTCCTCCCCAACCTGGGGGTTCACTCTGATGGGAACTTCCTGGGTAAACATAGGAAGGGATGAGTGGGCTTGGCTTTATGATGAGGCGTGCTTGACCCCATGTGGGATGTAAAGCTGAATAATAGCCCCTAAACATGTCCACAGCCTCATCCCCAGAACCTGTGAATGTTACCTTACGTGTCAAGAGGGACTTTGTGGATGTGATTAAGTGAAGAATCTTGAGATGAGGAGATTCTCCTGGATACCCCGGTGGGCCCAATGTGATCACAGCAGTCCCTATGAGAGCGGGTGGGAGAGTCAGAGGCAGAGGGGAAGGCGATGTGCTGATGAAGCAGAGCTTGGAGGCGTGCTCTTTGAAGATCGAGGAAGGGGCCACAAGCCAAGCAATGTCGGCTGCCGTTAGAAGCTGAAAAAGTCAAGGAAACGTGTTCTTGTCACAGAGCTTCCAGAAGGAACCAGCTCTGCTGACACCTTGACTTTAGCCCAGTGAGACCGATTTCAGACTTCCGATCTTCACATCCGTAAGATGACAAAATGATTTAGGTGATTTGTAGTGTCTTAAGCCACTCAGTTTGTGGTAATCTGTTACAGTGGCAACAGGAAACTCATACGTGCAGACAGAAGCCTGACAGTTAGAGCCCAGGCCGCTCTCTGCCTTCCCCCCCCAGTGCTGACTCTATCTCCTGTTCCTTCTGCACTCAAGCCCAGGCAAAGCCAACCAGAGGTGACTGAAGACTGCAGCTGTCTGGTCTAATGACATCACATTCAGGTCGTAATGACAGCCATCTCTGCTGCTTCAGGTACTGACCTGCCCTCATTCTGTCTCACCTGTTAGGACAGAACCGAAAAGATGTGGCTCATATTATACCCTTGACTCCTGTTTGCTGTATCTGACTCCTGGCCTGGATTTGTGAGAAACGCTGAATGGACTCCACCCAGGCCTGCAACTCTACTTTCTGCTTCCCCACCTCCCTCTATTTACTCATTTCCCATCTCACTCATTTATTTGTTCATTCAACAAATACTGATTGTGTTCTATGTGCTGGGCAGTGTTTTCGGTGCTTGAGATCCATCAGTGAGCAAAATGAAGATTCCTACCCACAAGGAGCTTATGGTATAGTGGAGGGAGAAGACAAAATGCAGCAAATATAATGAATAAATCTATTTATAATAAATCAATAGTGCTTCACATTATGGACAAAATAAAAAGCATAGCAGGATAATAAGAGTGTAAGGGTGAGTTGCAGATTTGAGTAGGGTGGATATGGTAGGCCTTATTGAGAAAGTGACATTTGAATAAATTCTAAAAGGAGGTGAGGAAGTGAGCCAGGCTGCTATATGGGGGAAGGGCTTTTAGACAGATCCAACAGCTAGTGCAAAGGCCCTGAGGCAGGAGTGTGCTTGATATGCTTGAGATCTGGCAAGGAGGCAATGTGTCTGGACTGGAAGGAGCAAGAGGCAGATTGGTGGGAGGGGTGGTCACAAAGGTTAAGGAGCCTGAACCAGGCAGGGCCTTCAGGGGCATCACAAGGACTTTGCCTTTTGCTACCAGTGCCGTGAGGAGCGATCGGAGGATTTTGAGCAGAAGAGTGGCATACTGAGACTTACATTTTTAAAGGATTGCCTTGGCTGCTGTGTTCAGAAATCCTGGTCTGTTGATTAAGAGATAGCTCTTTAAAATGTTTATAATCTAGTAATGGAGATAAGACTGGGAAACATACATAAACATAATACAAGCTAGAAAGTAGCAAAAGCAATGAAAGACACTCAGATCCTACGGGGGCTCTCATTGCCAAAGAGGAGAGGGAGATTGATTCCAGCTGGAGTGATGGAAGGGTGAAGTCACTGGTGTTACAGAGGATGGGCCATTGAGGTGGCCCTTGAGGAATGGGTAGGCTTTGGACATGGAGATCTGGTGGTGGGCTTGGCATTGTGGGTCCTAGTGTGTGGAACAGAGTGAACTCAGGCCTGGCAGGAAAAGCCAGGCTGTGGGGAACAGTGTGCAGTTCAGTGGCTGTCATCTAGGCCAGTGGGTGTCAGACTGTGGAGGGCATGCCAGTCACCAAGGAGCTCATTCAAAGGCGGATTCCTGG